TGAAACAATGGTGTATGGAAACCTAATAAAAATCGTTGAAATATGACAAAGTACGTGAGACAGTCGGCTGAATATGTCGACTGTAAATGTACACTAATTACCGATGATATGTTTGAAGTCATAAACATTGTTCATGTACTCTGAGTGGCTCCATCAAAGCATGAAGTCCAGCCTAATCTAATCCACCCTAATGTAATGAGTGTCGACCATTATTACATAATGTAATAAGTGTTTTAGACTTAATCTTGCAGATTAAGTCACCGAGGCTTATAATATCTCGTATCTTTTCTATATATCTCTCATTCCAATATCTGACCCCAGCATTCCTGTCTGAATTGTAAATATTTTATGAAAATTAAAGTATTGAACCCTAATAATAAATGTTTCATAGACTATTTGTTTGTAACATTTCAGTCAATGTATTCTATGTGACTGTTTATCCAATCAAGTATGGCCTAAACTTTAAACTTCACTATTGCATATTCTCGTAGATGGAAGCTGGAACCTAAAATCCTGCATACATTTACAAAAGGCATCGGTATACAAAAGTTAGCTATTTCCATAACCTAGGTCCGAATACAAGACGTCACAGTTAAGTTCCCTAGATTAAAACCTGTGCCCCGCCTGCATAGCCTGCACGATTTGACAGTCCGCCATTTGTCGGCTTCTGTGATTCTGTGCAGCTGTCACGCCCACTCAACCATTTTTACCGGCTGTCTACCGCCTTGGTTTCTCAGCACAATCCCTTGTGGGTCTTTAACCTGTTAAGTATTAGCTAGATTGCTGGTTGCTAGGAACCAAAGATGTCTGGAGAACTGAGTCCTATTCCAAGTGCGATAATGCAGTCTGTCCACTGGTTGACCAAGGATTAAATTAATCTGAGGGGATAACGCGTAGTTTTGAAGATTTTTCGGGAATAAAAATAAAATAAAATGTAGGACAAACATGCAGCTGCCTCGGTGGTGAAAAGATCTCTAGCGTTATGGCTGCTAATAAATGCGTTCTCCTTTTGTTCCGGCTGCACAGCCATTTTCCCCTTTGTATGCTGCGAACACACGTGTATACATCTTACCCGTACGTGCAATCGCCATGAAATACGTTTCAAGGTCATTACTAAAGCTCTGGATCGTAGAACTAAAGTTCATTAACGCATGCTCATATTTTATTATAAAACGGCAAGGAACCGCCAAAACACGTCACTCGACACTAAAGTGAACCTGGTTTCTACTCTGTATAAGAGATCAAATTTCATATGATTTCCATATAATACACAGTATTTGACATGAACGCACCGTATTTAGACGATGGATGCTTTCAGAATTTTTAAATATGCTTCAATTTTCACCTGTGAGTCCATTCTTGCCTTCTTTCAAAGAATACAGTCTTTAACTCAAATAAACATCAAAATATATAGAAATAAAAATTCAAACGGGACTCATTTGGAGTTTTAAAATCCGAGCAATATTTTGAAAAACTAACAGATTTTTTTAATGTTAATTTCATTAAAAGGCAAAGAATGGTTATTATATGCAGTTATGTTTCCTGATTTCAAATTCATCACGGCATTAGAATTCAATTAAAATGAAAACAAGTCTTGACACGACTAGTGCTACTATCTTTTTGAACATCCACAAATTCAGGCTATAAGCCATGGAACCATGGTTTTCATCCAATTTTAACGCAGTTTGTTATTAAAGTCGCATCTTCTCATTATACAGTTGAGAGGAGCGCGACCTTTTAGTTCAGCATTGGGATTAATCAGTTGGGAACTGAAGGGGCGAGGATGACTTATCACCCCGTCGGGTCCTTGGAGAATACACGGTTCCTCATGGACACGGGGAGAAAATTAATGAAGATCTGTCGAGATAGAGGATAATCAAACAAATAGAGTGAAGGGGTTCAGGAGACACAGAGGGGGGTTGTGAAGTAAGACGTGATCAGAATGAACTTGTAAAGAGGGAAACTGTCAGAGAGCAATTAGATTCATAGAGAGAACTGTCATACAGAACTTAGGTATATTTTTGAATGCATTCTGGCCTATTGTCATTCGTTCGTAGTAAGACATTTAGCAGCATACGGGAAAACAACAGCAAAAAAAAAAAAAAAAAAAAAAACATGCCGTAAATACCTTCNGGGAAAAACAAAAGAAAAAAAAAAAAAAAAAAAAAAAACACATGCCGTAAATACCTTCCTACATGAGGAATTAAACATTCCCCTCTTGCAGTAATTAACATTTGGTCACACTTTCTATTTTGTTCTGTTGAACACTTGAGAACATTACATCACTTCACAATACTCCCAAATTATTGGTATGAATTACTGCATCCCTTGGTGGTATAAGCACAGAGATGTATCAACATTGTCCCCCTGGGAAAATGTCATGTCACCTCGCAGAAACCCTCCATTTCAGTGATCAATAGCCCACGCAAAAAGACATTGTAATTGAGGTCTAAAAGTCCACTGAAATTCCGGTATTACTGTGCAGATAAGCATAAATGAGAGTCTCATTACTGAAACTGATCGTATCGTTATGCCAATTACTACACCTTCATGTACTTGTAGTACACCATTTATAATGCTACCAACAGCATCCTACCCGTTGCTAAAACCATGCCGACCAATATCGCGCCCAAAAGAACGTTTCTTCATCAAGGTACTGATTAGTTCAACTCAAAATTTACTGCATATTCTATGACTGAAATTTATGTGGTTTTTTTTGGGGGGGGGGCTATAAGAGTGACCATATTCTATTACCCATGCACATTATTTTTGTGATTAACATCATCACTTTGAATAATTTAGAAAATAAACTTACACGCAAGCCGAAGAAACGTTGCTTAGTTACAATATCAACAGTGGATGATTTTTGAACTCATTAAAAACATTATTGGGCGGGGGGTACTCAGTATAATACTGCTTCATCCAGTCATACAGTATTTTCACCTTTAAGAAATAATTCTCCATGCCATCAAGATATCAGTGCTTAAAACTCAATATAGCACTGCCTGTTACAATTTAGATATTTCACCTGGTACTCGAAAGGGCCTGAACAAAAAATAATATCGTCTAGCGTTCCAAAATGCTACAGATGATGCGATAATGCACAGCTGGTTGCAGAAATCGATGTAAGGGTACTCGGGAAGACAACATCAAAAAGTTGAACGCCGAGACCAGCTTTGATAAATTACTTGGCGCCTGGTGAGAAGACTACGTTGTATGGCCTTCGTGTGTATTGATTTTACAGTTTACTGAACATCTATCTTCCGCAACCGCTCCGCTCAATATTCAGGATGTTGAACCCAGTTGATGTAGGATGTTGGTAACACACTGCATCAACATACAGTTGTCTATATAGAGAAGTGGAAACAAGACTACAGGCATAATACGTGGATGCACGCCACACTGTAATCAAGTTTCGTATTTTAATTATCTACTCAGTACGTAAGTGAAGCATTTAAAATTGTCTATGTCTATTTTTGTCTCTTTTCATCAATATTTATGAAGGGTTATCTGCGACGGACGAACAATATTTTTAACTATTTTGGGTTGTTAGACATGGGATGGATCGTCAACGGAGCGACGAAATAAGTAGAGTTTTTCTTTTAATGTGATCCAGACACGTGGGGCACCTCTTGATTAACAGGTTTCTAATAACATACTTAAAATATTGGTATGCCATGTGGATACTTTCAAAAATATATATGTAACACAAATTGTAACCTAGCAGTAGGCTACACTTAAACGTGTATAAAAGTACTAACTAGTAGTAAAGTAGTAGTTTGAGTGAAGCCTTTCTGTTAACACTTAACAAAACGCTTGATAAGCAGTAGAAACACGTTGTACAGCTTCAGTTAACCAGCCAGCTGTAAACCAGCATGATTTGACACCTTCAGAATTAACATACAACGTCTCCAATACCAACAGCATATGTTACATAGCGAGTATAGTCTTTTATGCATCAATGCTTGTCATTTTTAATAACCGACTCGGCCTTGTGCTGGATTGTATTTACCTCTGATGTTCTTTCGCATAATGAACTAAAGAAGGAAGATACAGCATAATGTTTAGTCCATATGGAAAATATTTCACATCTGTTTCGCTTATTTCTGATTAAGTAAGAAATACCCAGAATTGTCACATTATGTGCCTTTAAGTTGGCCCGATATATAAGGCCTCTCGCAATGTGCCTTTAGGTTATCCTAGTAAGGCCTCTTGTGATGTTTCATGGATTAATCTTCAAGGATGCTTCGTGTTTATATTTGTCTTTTCGGGGGTATGATGGAATGAGTGAATCTTCCTGGTGTTAAAGCAGCGCGTTCATCCTCCATTAACACAAGCGTCCTTCATATTCAACCTGCAAACTGGAGGACCTGCTATAGGTGATATATCAGACACCTAATATTTCATGGTCGATTTTCTTTTACCTCCACCGTAATTGGCGTTTGTCAAGTCCTGCAATAGGCATCAAGGGGCTAGTAAATATAGCTCTGCACTATCACTATCAGAAAACTGTCAACATATTTCCGTAAATTAATACTTGGTATAACTTATTCCACAAACCTTTTAATAATTTCATGTTCACAAAGATGAAAAGACACGGGGGCAAGTTTCTCTCCGGAGACATGTTTCCTCCTTGATTTTCTGGGGATTTAAAGCTCAAACCCTCCGAAACGGCACTGCCACCTGAATCTCTGGTGGAGATTCCTTCAAAGATGAAGACAAGTTTGGACCTTTGTTTTGAAAAAACCCAACAAATCCCACTTTGTCTCTCCACCAATACCGAAACCATGATTCGCCACGTAATGTGATTAATAAACGTTGTCGATAATAAACGGAGAACTGTCTTATTTTCGAACACACTTTTGCGACTAATCTAATACAGAGACTAACAGAAACAAGTTTTGCATGTAAATTGTTTTGTTTAAGTTTCATGTGGAAGAACAAAAGGTTTTCTGACATGAAAATTACTTTCGCAATTAAACTCAAGGAAACACTGGAAATTACTAGGATAAGAACTTCATTTGCCATTAGATCAAAATACGCCTAAAAAGACAGACACACCAAAAATCTTTGTTAAAAATGAAGTTTAATTCAATGCTTCGTTTTTAGTTCCCAAAATGTTGAAAATCACGTATTACACAATATGAATTTGTATAAAAAACAAATGATAGCCACTTTAAGAAAAAGGACTATGTTTGCGCTGAATATTCAGGAATATAATATGAACCGTCATTTTAATCTCCACCAAATAACGCAACTCTTTATTCATGACGTTTTAGGTCTACTACAAGAAAGAACGGGTTGAAATCTTGTGCAAAATGCGGTAACATGAGTACTTAACAAACGAAATAATCAATTAACCAAATACAAATATCAAATTAGTAATTCCCTGTCTAGATATGACTCAGCATCACAAATAAATTTTTCTCAATGCAGAAGTATCAATTTACAGGCTTCATAAACAAGCGTTTCCTGGTTTAATATATAATGAATAATATACTAATTCGAAAAATTCGTGTGTTTACTGATATGTATATTGGTAATGTTTACTTTGACAGCATGGCCTATCGTCAAACTGCTGCCTCCGTTGTTATAAAAAGGTTTGGATGAGTGCGTCAGCACAAATAATGGTGTAATAAACAAAGGTTTTCAAAGGTATTTGGCTTCTAAATCAAAAAGTCGTTTTGGTCTGATCTAGCCCATTGGATGCGTGTAGAAGCCTAGGATCGGCACATTGAACATGTATATTAACATTCTGTCAATGCTGAGTAATGTCTTGATTAAAAAAACCACAAACATCTCAAATCTACTAAACGCGTTTGTAATACTTACATTTTGGTGGTTATGTGCAATTACTTTAGAAGTAAAAATGTACAAAATTATTAAAACGCTGGAAAATCATTCTTTGTGTATTAAATCAGATACAATATCAATAACGGGTAATAATACCAGGTCTTGAGAGGAAACAAATTGGAAAGCTTAAATTAATAATAGAATGGATGCCTGGTATTGGCTCCATTAAATGATGCTATAATGTTGGGTGCTAATAAGGATATCCAAACCACCAGTATGAATTATTCACATGTAAATATCAAAGTAGTATTTAGACCTAATGCCACACTGTTATCCACGGCGCGACATAACTTATGTATTTACAAATAAATTAAGAATGCTGTACAAATCGGTACACCATTTTCTTACACTCTCAGGAGCAATGTGGACGTGCTAAACAAGTACGTGACTGAAATACTAACATCTCCAGCACATACGATGCAAGATATGGGGTGGAGAGCACCCCACCTCCCGTCTTTGTGTTGGTCATTGTTTGATCGGAGTCTCAGGAATTCTTTACAGGCTTCTTGGGGGGGGTGTTAGGTAACAATAGTCTAGAGTGTGTATAGAGATTGGACATGTGGGGGGAGGTACCAATCGGCCTCATATCGTGCACGATATCCTCCAGCAATGTCTGTTGCTTTTGCAATCCCTGTGGTACTTCAATAGCTTGACACTTGTCTGGTTAGCATTCCATTCAGAATAACCCAGTGAATTTTATAAGGCGACCAGGCACGATCTCTAGCCACGCAAATTGTACGACCGCCTAGATGGATTGTAAAATAACGATCTGCTTCTTGAGACCTCATTTTGCAGAATAAAGTACAGGCGGGTGCAAATCAAATCTATTTCGGTATACCCAGCTATTACTGGAAGATTGTCAAGCTCATATTTAACGAGCAGGTCACCGTTTGGGCGTCGCCCCTGGCCCCTTGCGATAGGTTTACGCTTCAGTTTTCCTATGCTAGTTTTTATCACTGTTGAAGAAGTTAGATTTGGTCAACTTCAGTCAAACTTGCTGCAGAAACGGCTCATGAATTTTGCATTTTCCCACACTATGCGTGGGTGCATCAGCAACACGTCACAAGAGTAATCCTAGCATACATGTGGGTATAGGTACACGCAACAGGGGCAGAGGTTAAAGATTGTGTGTGAATGGATTTGCATATATTGTTGTATATTAATTCAACACCAGTGTACTCAATCGAAGCTACCTGTCATCTGCTCAGTTTGCCACTCATTTAACCAAACAGTAGCACGTGGACTATCGTGAACAATTTTGTTGTTAGCTGACAAAGGGTCATTTAAGCCGCCACAGAACCCAATTTATTGAAGATAACCTGGTGTTATCAAGTGAATTCACTGGTACAAAAGCACAGCTTTATTTACATGTTACGAATACTTTTCACCTCTGCTGTAGCAGTAAAAGGAGAAATTGCAATGTTTTGGATTTATGCTAATGAAGATTTCCACATTTTGAGCAAAGCATGATGTAATTTAAGGCAGAACGAGAGTGTCTCCACAGCTTTATGTAGTATGTTTTACATAATGGTATAAGAATAGACGTTTGATATCAAATACTTAATTTGTCATACAGTTGAAATGTTCACATTTTAAAAACGCTTTCAGTGTTTAATGCTAACTGTTGTTTTAACTGTTGTTCATTATAAAGATGAGATGGTATGTTTGTTTGTTTTGCAAGCGGGAGTGTTTGTAGCGCGTAAAAACAACCGTTATATACCGCTATATACGGGTATAAGTGTGGCCCGATCTTATACATGTATTTCCTGTTCGCAGTGTCCCTTAAAAAGATAACAGTTTCTATAAATATACAATTATTACAAACTTGTTTTATTTATATAAAAGCAGCGGTTCCATTCAATGTAGTTGGATCCTGTGGGTCTGAGAATTTTGATGCATTTGCCTGATTGACCGCTTAAGAGCTCTGCTATGAGACTTATCATGCATTCGACCAAAGGTCTTGAGGTTGGTTTACTCCCTCGGGATGATCAACAAATCCTCAAGACTCGTCTGTCCAGGTAATTCAGTAAGGGCCAGCCATATCGTGTGAGCTGGCGCTGGTTCAAGTGTACATCAGGGGCACACGTCTCAAGGCACTGCCTTTCACCTAGAGTTGTGTAAATGTAGGCAGTCGTTTCCTACTTTGCATCTTTAGTGTATATCCATTATATAATCAGACTGTGACCAAAGAACCATTTTTGAACACCTTTTTCTCTAGGGTACAAAAGTCATCCTTTGGTTTGACGTTAGTAAGACGTTTCCTTGGCGATCTAACATAATGGTGTAATTACCAACAGTCAAAACAGCGTCTTTTTTCCATCAATATCACGCTGCCATCAAGAACCAGAATAAAGCGGAAAAGGTAAACTAGCCTCAAAGTAGGAAGGTTTTGAAGAGTACCTACCCAACTATAAGACCATACCCGTTCAGAAAAATATACATGTACACCCTTCAGAATTAACATCATTCAAACAGACTAGTCACCGACGAGACACAGAATTCAACAAAGTGAACTCAAGTTCTTAATTCCCTATACTGCTGCAGTTTAAACCGTTCCGAGATATTTCCTTTATCACTTTCGCGTGATCGTATTTTTGGAGCGACAAATGGCCTGATTTATTTAAGATATTAAGAGTGCTACCTTTGGAAATAGTCCTTATTCGGGATCACCGAATTAGCTCAGTTTAATAGAAGTTTATAAAGACATATATTTATTAAAGCAATCTTTCTCCTTAACAGTGGTATGAACCGAATCTCGATTCAATATGCAACCATCTAGTTATAAGGTATATTTCTACCAGTGTTTCAACTGTTGTCAGATCTTCTAGTCAGCCGATCAAATCTTTTCACATGGTCCTCTCTCTCCTGTTTAAAATCCTGTTGGAAATTCATCGGGTAAATGTAGCCTTATTTTTTTACTTGTGTAATTCCTTGGCAGGTAGTTCCTTGGTTGTGTATCACCATCTTATAATTAAACTCCCGTCGAAAATCTTTGTTCGGGTAGGCTAGATCGATTTACGTTTTGAAGATCTTTCGCACGTCATGAAGTTTTCAAATGTTTCATCGTCCGAATAAGTGGCATGATAAATGGTAGGTCCCATGTGTTGGAGATGTATTGCGTTGGGGCCAATCCCATACGGATCATGATGAGTTCTATGAGGATGCTTACAGTTGTTACAACAGGAGGCACAAATGGATCTCGGGTCCATTTTCTTGCCAAGTAAAGCACCTCCAGCGTGTGAATGATGATAAGGTAGATGACCATCTATGTGATTAAGGTCTAACCCACTACTGCGTGAGGTCATTTCTTGAGCTTGAGCCTCACGCCTCTCGTCCTCGGTATTAAGCGTTAAAAGACGCAGCACCAACAAGTTCATAACAGAGGCGACCACAACTAAGGCTGCAAGAATATAGATAATCGCAAAGGCCGCATACTCCGGCCTTTTTTGTAGCATATTGTCCTGCTGAAGGGCTACAAAATCTCCCAAGCCCACAGTTGTTAACGTTATGGCTACGTAATAAATAGAATCTAAAAGATTCCAATTTTCAAAATTAACAAATGCCACAGCGCCACCTCCTGTGATCAACATGGTACACAGACCTCCCAACATGACAAGTTCCGTGTGTGATACCTCAGCTTTCTTAAACCTTACACATCGTTTGAAGTTTTTCACACAGAATCCCATGAATATGTTGAGCCGCTCACCAACACTTTGAAACATGACGAGGTTCAGCGGGATTCCGACTAAGGCATACAAAATACAGAAGATTTTCCCTCCGTCCGTCAACGGGGCTGAGTGACCATATCCTAAAGAAAAAAGGAACAGAGGTAATTTTAATACAGCACAAGACAAATAAATTGTTACGGTATACTGTAAACTGTAAGTGTAGCTCGACCAGATGAACACTGTGCAGGTATAAATCTGCTGAAAAGCTAGAAGCGAGGAGTCGGGCAGTGATGAATTTAAATGAAACCTACCAATCATCCTATACAAATCTGCATGCAAAGTCATTTTTCAGTGTCTACAAACTGATCTGTTCCGTTTTAACCCAATTTTCTATTAATTTGCATCCCAGTTTAACTGATTCTCACAAAAACTCGAAGTTACTAGCACTTTGTAACAATCAACAGTTTGACATTTAAGATCACGGAAATGCGATTTCGCAAAATGTAAGGATTGCATATTAAGTGTCATACAAATTCTTTGAAAGAATAATTTCCCAAGTTCCAAAATTAGTATATGTGCATGATCAGAAACTTGCTTAATAAAGCACAGTAAATACTGACGAGCTACTGTAGTTAGATGTTTGGCTGGTAATATGTTGTTGAATTGAACAGTGAATATTACGCTAAAAGTGCACTAGTGAAATCGACTCTATGTACTCAGAGTGCTTCACTTTCTATACACACGAGTAGATCAAAGACATGTAACTATATTATTCATCTTATATCCCAAAGTGTGCCTATTAATTCATTTCCATCTCAGACAAAACCAATAAAAGTATGTCGTCGTGTTGCATTTATTGCTGATTCAAGGATCTGTCACATTAGGAAAAGCTTGCCTAACTCTTGTAGGAGAGCACATGCCTGTAATGTTTGTGATGTGAAATCCGCCACAGACTATAGTATGTTTATATTAAAATCACATGCAGTATCCGCCCCGAGCTGAAGTGAGCCCCCAATCGGCGAAAAGAAAGACAGGTGGTTACAAGTGGGTTCTTGGACACGTTCCGCGAGTACGCAGTACGCAAAGACCACGCATGCCGGAGTAAGGTCGAGTTCGGTCGGCCTGTTCTTGACACGGCTTTTTTGTTCTCGCGCTCGAACGGCGGGAAAACGACTCAAGAACACTGTTGTCGGAACAGGATCATACACCCCCTCATCGTCAGGGTTTTACAGGAACAAACGGGAAAACTCGTGAAATTTTGATTTTTGAACAGCTGCAAAAAGTAGAAAAATGGCTCCCAAAGCCAGAGATAATTAATGGTACGTTTTGCAAAATTAACATGAATTATTTTCCATAACACAGAAATGAATGTTCCTGTTTAAATAGAAAGAATTCAGCCCATCCAAACACTAACTCTCGAATAACGTACATGGACTCGGGCGTGTTGCATGCCGCATGCTCACGTCGCTAACTACCAGCAATAGCTGGTTGTTTGTTCCTTGAGTTTGAGCGGCTGACCCACGAACAACAAATCGAATTGTTCGTGAGCATACGAGAACAAGCCGCCTGAACTCAGTTTAGTTACGAGTACCAAGCGTGCTCCGCGTCAAACGTGCACATACCATGTACGCACCTACGCGGTGAGTACCCCCCCAAAAAAACCCAAAAAACAAAAACAAAAAACCCACAAACCAAACCCAACCCAACCAAACCAAACTAAACCCAACCAAACCAAACCAAACCCAACCAAACCAAACAAAAACCCGCCCTCTTTTATTCCGCTCAAAGCGGATAGTGTCACAAGCAAAAGCTGCATTAAAATATGTACAGTAATCTACAAAATATCCAATTCAACACCTGCATGTCGCATGTAAATATCTTGAATAAACAAGTTATCAATTACTACTGAAAACTGCTTACCGGTACAATCAGCATTGATTTAAATACATAATACCCTAAAGCAATACCCTAATGCACGCTAAGACTAATGAACATTGTTCACAATGATCGTCGTACTGAATGTTTAAACTTTTAATAGTGTTCAACAAACTTCAACTGTTCATTTCATGACAGCTTTTGACAAGTGCACCTTATTTTTTACGTTGTGCATTACATGCATCCCTCCGGAAATGAAATGACAGCATAGTGAAAAAAAAAAACATTCACATGCAGTATTAAATAAGCACAATAAAATGGTACCTCGTACATGTAACTGTGAATCTCTGTTAGTCTGTAAGGCGGGTGCTCAGCAACTGATTTTCGATCCAAAAAGTGACTTTTTCATTTCGAAATGTTTCAATGTAATCTCTACAGTTACCACTACCATATGTAGATTGAAAAGGTTGACTAAAATAGTTTAGTATACATGGCCTACAGTATAACAATTAGTCTAAAAATCCCAAGACATTATACCTGTGAGTAGATATAGATGCTCAAAGAACATGATGTACGTACATTACGGGTACTATGGTGTTTTGTATAAATGCTATCAAACGTAATTACACTTCATTTTTCATTGCACGCAAAATTTACTCTATATTGTATTATGATGTACCCCGCATCTAGGGTAAGTTGTTACAATTTCTCACTTCAATGATTAATGATCAATGACTAATAAAGTTGTCCTTCGGTAAAATGCTGTTTTTATATATTTTAGACATACATCAGCTTCAGCTATGACTGAGCGAAACACTCGTCACATTTTGTAATTGAGTTATGGTTTTAATGTTTGCTCCGGCCTTCCTCTACATACTACAGATTCTAAAACTCTTGTTTACTTCTTCCATCATTTGTACCATCTTAGCCATCATCTAATCATGAAACAGTACTCGGGGCATGTAACCACCAATATGCATTGTATTCCCAGTCCTTTCTTATTTGATTTTGAGGTCAAACCACGTAATTACCAACAAGACCCGAGATAAGAATAGACTCAATATCATTCCGTATGTGCATGATAATGTAGACCTTTGTGGTACTAAATTAACAAATGCTTATATCCCACTAGCATAAATTTAAAAAGCTGTAAGGCAAATCATACTAATGTAAAAGGTTTTGGAAATTCATTCAAAAAGGGTACTAAAACAGAAGATAGAAACATGGAATGTCGATGTCACTGGAATATTAAAATTAAACAACGATTTAATACCACGATGGACACCAACTTGCCAAGTTACCCCTTTCAGTTTTGGTTAAGTTAAGTCGTTAATACGACTCTAATCAAATGCTTTGTCGTGCCCAATATTCTATCTGTACCATTCAAACATGTCTTCCCGGGGTTAATTCATGTAGTTGAATACCCTTGGACGTATAAAGTGATGGTTTGTAGTAGAACCATGCAAAGAGTATGTGGGGGACTCCGGCTCTGTTGAGATGTATACATTCATCTTTTGTTTGACTGCTCTTTGTCCACCAACGATCTTGTATTTGGTATATTAAGACACAATTTAGGCGTGACAACAAATTTGTCACAGAACTACGCTGTAATAAGGACAGAAACATTTTTCATGTGGATTTATCATATCTCCATAGCAAAACTAATTTAATTTATAGTCAGCATGCATGGATCAGATAAGATAGGAATGTTTAGCAAAAGGTTTAAATGAATCGTGACTGGCATGACAAGATGGACAATAAAGTTTGAATGAATAGCTGCACCCAATGGTTCAACACCTATGTTATACGATTTATAGGTTCCCTTAATGCTGGAGGGGGTGCATTGCGTGTAATACTAACATTACAGCCTAAAGTTAGCCGGAAATTATTTTTATGTATTAATGACTACATTATACCTAGCACAGGTCAAAAAATTAAGTTTGAAACGTGTTGATGTTGACTAATTGTTTACGATATAAAAAAACTGATTTCAATATCAAACTTTTTTTGAGTCATTCCATTGTATTTTCAGTTGTATAACCACAAAGTTAGCAATGACATTTCCCGAGTTTTTTTCTCGCGATATGCAAAAGATTTATCAACAACTACAATTCGCTAATTCACACGAAAAGTTGGAAAATGGGTTGTTTTGTACACGTGTTCTGTATAGCACTGTACAAGAAAATACGACCTACCTACTATGAGATAACACACTGAGATACACGTAGCAAGTGACACATTTTGATGCAAAACTTGATTGCCTTAGGGTAGTTAATTAACCGTCATGGAATTGGAGTGATAGCAAAGAGTGCCCAACGCATGACATCACCTACGCGCCTATATCATGTACGAGCTATCAAATCTTCCATGGCAACCGGTAACCATATTCAATGCGTATTTATTGAGAGAGGCAAAACCATGGAAGTTAATACTAATAATAAGCAAATTGTAAGAATCTGAAGGACAGGAAAACCTCTGGTAAATGAGCTTCGAACTGAGAATTATATATGCCTGCTGTAATATACTTTATTTGAGACACGGAATAACATAGTTTAGTCTTCCTTTTCTTCATTTGAAATAATGTAGGCCTACGTATGAGGCCACAACGGGTTGGGTGACGTTCGTGCCGCATTAGTAAAAGTATATTTTCGGTTATTTCCTCTATCAAGTAGCAATCAAATAAAAAACATCACCTTGTACTTTACATTTCACAAACCGAGACACAATCAGATGCACGACTTTCGCAAGGTACATGTACAATGCACTTGAGATTTTAATTCTGTTGCATGAATAATTCCACTGGTCAGCCTGATCACGAGGCCAGTTCCAATTTCTTTTGAACATCCGTAATAAGTGTAAAATCTCATATTTTCCAAAACAAACTAACTTCACATATTAATATCTTTCATACTAACTTTATGATGCATACGGTGGACTGTACATCACACAGTAAGTCATGGTTCAGGCGCATAGGATTCGAATAGTGGCTCATGGCTATGGAGAAAGGCTGGCCTGTGCTCTGCGCTTCTCTTTAACTTGCTCTGGATGTTTCTCGAAGAATGAAAACATAGCGAAGCTTCACCAAGTACAATGATACGAGGAGGTTGGTGTGGCCTTAGGCAGCTTGTCAATTCGTCCTGATCAACATTTTTCTCCATCGAGGCGTGTATTTTTGCATATTTAGTAATTGACAGCTACATTGTACATGTATGCCGCATTTTCTTACATCATTGTATATGCTTGTCTAAATGCCAATGCATCTCACAACTTCCACTACACATAACAATACTCTCATTTCTACACGGATTTGTTCAGCTGATTCATAAGACATTGAACGTAATGCTACCAAGGCTCTGTCAGTTCACCGGTGTAACATAGGGAAAACAGTTAGGGGTTCCTTTAGCTAACACTACAAAGATAAAACACACCTCATTTTTTTTTAAATACACAGATGTGGGTACCCATGTCTTTTAACACTGACGACTTGAAACTGAAATGCAAACTAATTTCAAGGCGATAGGGATATGGAGACAACATGCACTGCAAACATGGTGTACGTGCATTTTTAACAAAAAACGGGAACGGATTATGTAAATCGTCTACTAACACCATCTCGTTGGATAGAATTCATATTTGTGATCCTTTTCGTGCGAGCATGTCAAGGTCATTATTTTTGCCATCGTATAAAGGTGTTCACAATGCAGCGCATGAATGTACATGTAGGCCTACATGTATACCGAGTATATGTACATGTAGAAAAACCTTTATATCGCGTTCTCTTAACGGATTTTACACCGAGTAATTATTCATATGTCGAAAAGTTAAAAATGGGTATGTCCACGATGTTTACCGTCGCATTGGCTTTAGTAGATAATATCATCCTTAACTGAACAAAACAAAAATGGAATTGCTTGAACCATAAAATTACGTTTTGAATATAAATGTCTTCGGAATAAAGATTTTATCCGATGTTCGTTCTTTTTACACGAAATATACACAGCAAACATGGTAACTATCACTTTGTTAACACATATATACTTTGTGTCCCTTTGTTACTTTTAATAATCTGACGAAAATAATTTCGCCTGTCGTATAGGAATCTAACCAATACACTAGGCTCAGTAGTATAAACACTTGTATAATTGTCGGCATACAGTACATTCAACAGACCTTGTTTATAGCGTTTAGGTGATGCTTTACATTTTTTTTTAATTTCACGCAAATCGTTTGAAGAGCAAATACTCGAGCAAGGCCGTGAATGTCTCATCGGGTAATACCTATAATAGCCTCCGTTTAGATTTTTTTCAAGTGTCTGTAGTCCAAACTTTCGTTTTGTGAGTACAAGGATTATGAAACTGTATTAATCTCTTAAAACAGCTCCCACCCATTTACTATTCCCAAATCCTCCAATTCCAATACTATTTTACATATACCCTTGGGGTTAGGGTTAACACAACACAGCCATTTGTCCGCTGTTTGCAAATTTGATAATTATATCATAAATTTATTGTGTAATGGTGTTAAGTGCGGGAACCAATGATGACACTTTGAGACATTAACAGTCTATTGTATTTCTTACTGTGGTTGCTGTATGTACGCATCAGGTATAACTAGGCCCGTGTGGAAACAGGCATCGAGCTATTTGTTCTCTGAGTTAAAAATTTACAACACAGAAATGCTAAGGTTGTAAAATGATTTAGTATACTCATAACCCAACTTACCTATCGTGGTAATAACAGTCATGCAAAAGAAGAAAGATCCGGTAAATTTCCACTGCACGCCAGCTCTATGAGGAACATATTTAATCATGGTTAACCGCAAGTCATCCAAATCGCTGTCTGTGATATTGTAGTGTTCCTTTATTGTTCGGGTAATATTCTCCAACTTCAGTTTTTCTGCTTCTTCATGTTGAGACTCCAGTACGTCGAATACCGCTGCCCCAGCTAGTAGATAGAGGAAAGTTGAGATAAGAAGGACTAATGTCCGTACGTTTTGGCGCTTCATGCTTAGGCGCACGGACATTCATATGGCTGATATTTCCAAACATGGACGGCGACTCAACACCATCCACTCCATACACAGGAATGCCGTTGTACGATTGCACACGCCGGTTTGTTGGCTCGCCACCGGCAATACAGTTGCTTTGCGTGTTGTGTGACAAGCCATACGGACTCGTCGCTAGTGCTGGTCGGTTAGGCCAGAGAGCTGTGTTGACTCGTGGCGCCGCCTGGTGCAAGCTTAGGAAAAGATGCGGGTCGGGCTAAGCCCAGCGCCGTGTATGTCGGATATAGTGAAAACGTATTGAGCTATGTATGGCCTTAGCCTTCAATAGCAAATTTTGCAATCGACGGCCGTTGCGTGTGCTATTCTTAAGCCGTCGTAGGCTTAACTTGTAGAATTCATCTTGAGGGATTAGGCAGTAGGCTATAAATATTGAAGTAATTGCTGGAGTTGTTTTAATAATGATGTTGATAATGATGTTGATGCAGTGGTGATAATATTGATCTGCTCTGCCCGTTCATTCTAATGGTGTTATTCTGATCATCTAAATAACACCATTACCTGGCAGGTAATGGCATGCCGGCGATGTAAACAACCACATGATGGTGCTGGGGACGATGTACAGACCGTTTACGAAACAGATTGCAATGAATGACTTTTAGAGTCGTGGACCATAAATGTTATAAAAGGGATCGAACAGAAAAAACCACACCATATGGACAAATGTACAAAGTAAAGCAACAAACTGTAATAACGAAGCCTCTGACATACGTAAGAATACGCTAAATATGAAGAGACATTTTTGTAGAAAACTTCACTTTCTCAACATGCTCAAAGGCAGCTTGCGGCCACTCCCATCATTCCCCATCCCTGTCCACAGGGTGGCGCTATTAACGGAAATAAGATTGCAGGCCGGTAAGCTTTTTTTATTTACACCGTAGCCTAGGGTTTTTCAATCTGGTAGTGCTAATTCGCGCTTGAAAAGAGACTAATGCTGACTGAACCAGTCAAAGCGAGCGCCCGAAAACACGCAAGGATGGTGCCTGCATGTACTACAACAAAAATCTGTATTTAGTTCCGACAGTTGATACTTCAGAGGTGATAGACCGATGGATTGTGACAGTATTGGGGTGATTCCTCTTCCTCTGATAGTCAAGTTATTTCTTTGGTGTGTGTGAAAAAAGCAGAATTTTAATCACCACCGTGATAGCTGGCTTGATGAGCTAGGTTAGCCAAGCTCACGCAATGTTTTATTATTACCCCCAGAGATTGTTTCGAAAA